TTAGCACTCCGCACTGACTTACAGACATGGCAAACACTTAACATTTGGCCTCTGACATGGTGAAGAAGAGTGTCAAATATTTTCCTGGATACACTAAGCTCTGGTGCTAAATTTTGGCTTTATACTCATTGCTAAAGGAAGAGATTCTTTCCAAGTTCAGCACAGAAAATTAAATCTATTACTCACCACAAATGTTTGCAGTTTTTACAAAATTTCACATTATGAATGAGAGAGAATTATACTGAACAAGGTGTTGGCTACCTAGGTCACCCCTCGAAAATATAAATAATGCTTTGGAGAAACTTTCTGTTCAAATATCAGTGTAAAAACCTAGTCACCCTGTACCTTTTCTTGCTTCCACAAGAAAAGAAAACATATTTACAGTTGCTGCAGTTTTGGAAGAAAAACATGTATCTCTTAACTGTATCGTGGCCCTTTCCATGCACCCTGTTAGCTGGTTCTTGAGAGTCCTGGGAGAGGGTGCAGGAGGAAGGCAAACAGAAAATTAATAGTTAATTAACGTTGGGACTTTTCAATAAACTCTTTTCCACATTTCAGTGTCGGTGAGATTCCTGTCATTTTCTTGTAGGGTTTCCTTGGTTCTGATGAGCCTGCCTACTTATAACAACTGTTTTTCTAATTAGACTTTTTCTTCAACCATGGCCTGGTAAGACCTGGAAACACAAAGGTGACTCTTGGGAAAGAGCATTATCACTTGGGTGTTTTTATCACTGCAGAATCTCAGGTCTCACTTGAAACTTCCTGAATCAGAGTTTCTGTCATCAAAAGAGTGAATATTCATTTCACTGTGTTTTAAATTGTTTCAGTATTATCACTAAGAACAATAATCAGATGAAATGTTCTATGTGTGACCTCACCCCCTCCACCAATCTTCTCACTTAGATTCTACCAGAATTAGAAGCACTCAGTGTTAATGCTCATTCTTGTCTATCTGAATCGGAATCACTAGGGGACTTTTCAAGGCTATTGTTATCCCAGCTGCCATCCCATGCTGATTAAATGACCTGTTATGGGATTTAGCAACTGGTTACTTTAAAGTCTGAAGTAAAAATTGCTTATATTAAATCTAAATGCAAAGAACTTCCAGGTGCTCTTATTGTAGGAACTGGGGGAGGGGTGGACTGCTGTGGGTAAGAAGTACACACACGTATATTATGGAGCAGGGGCTGTAGAGAGTTGCGTAGAGGGTGTGAGTTCAGGCAAGGCAGCATGCAAGTCACTGCTGGGGACATTCAAACAGCTAGTTATGAAGAGAGGTGAGAATGGGAGAGGAAGGTCAGAAGAGAATCCTACCTGATAGGCCTCTATAAGAGTATCACAGGAGGTAGCTGTCCTGAAGTAGCCAGTTAGGTTAAAAAAGTCATAAATCCAAGCATCGCAGTCAGGGACTCTGTGTGCAGAATTCCCCCAAACTACTCTCCCATCTTTAGCAGGCAACTTGTATCCAAACACTTGTTTGTTCAACTCCTTTGTTGAAACATAAGAGACAGAGATCTCTTTCTCGCTCTTTTGGCAATATCAAATATGGAACATCAGTATAAGAACTTCTCCTTCATGTCCTTAAGCTTCATAGAATTAAGTGAATAAAAGAAGTTTGACCCAAGCTGCACTGCCACGTATGCCAATTTCATGAAGGAAAACACTTCCAGAACAGCCAAGAACACTTTTCAGAATGTTTGTGAATTTCTTATCATAACAAATGTATTGTGATAACCATATTCTCTTAGTAATCTGCTTACAGAACTCCATCCACTTGGCTTCCCTCAGACTAGCCTTAATTGATTTTTACTCAGTTTTTCAACAGCCAGTTTCTCTTCTATGCTGGCATTCTTAAAACACAATATTGTATCTGGCTGCTGAGTTAGATGGAGAAAAACTAAGTACATAGTTAGTGACAAAATGCCATGGCTAACATGATTTAAAATTGCATCAGTATTACAAAAAGAGAGTCTCCTTCATTATGGTATTTCCTTTTTTCTTAACCTTTCACGGTCAGCAATAAATTGAATAGAACTTTTTATCAATTCCAAAACTATCCAGCATTCTTTATATTAAAGTTATCCTGATTCAGAGATACTAAGAACCTATAGGATAGTTTGAAAGTTGTGTGACTTTTACCAAGTATTAAAGCAACTTCAAGAATTCCTACTCATTTGATGAATTTGAAAGTTACCCTTGCACACACACATCAGGATGCCCAGAAAGAATGCCATAAATACTAAGACATTAGGATAAGCTTTTTAGGATAGAGATCTTATTATATTAGCTGTTTCCTTTACTTCTTTTCTTCTAGAAGGAATGAAAACAGTGGTCAGAGATCAGATGTCCTGAAAAGCAGCACTTGTCTTAAAAAAAAAAATACTGTGAAAAGTTCTCAAAGTATCAAGAAGACGGACTCCCATGTGTCCACTCACCAGGTTCAGTGATTATGAATTCATGAACAATCTTGAAAGCTACAGTCACCTTAAGAACCACAAGATAGTACAAGTTCTTTGAGGCTAAAGTTTTCAACATTTTTATCACTCAAAAGTGCTGGTGTTGGTGAGACCCCCTCTTTGTGACAAGGGTAGGAAGCCTGCAGCCTCACCAAACTTGTGTCATTGCTAGTGTAAATTTTACTCTCCATCGCCTCTCATCATGCACATGTCAGCTGCTTTCCCTATCACTTTTCCTCACCAACATTCTGTTGATTATCAGTAAAAAATGAGTTGGTGGCAATTACATTTGACCTCAAATGTGGGCTCTGGAGTCTAAGGCTTGGGCTATCTAGGAAAAAACATCTCCCTTCACCTACACCCATGGGTGACTAACACCTTGAAATTCTGTAAGATTCCTTTTGTTGTGATATTTTTAAACTTGAAACGTATAGGAATGTTTGTCCTTCTCCACACCCACTCCATCTTCTACCCCTTAATTTCTTGGGTGGATTTCCCATATTCCCTTCCCAAGTTTAAGGACATAAGACCATTTTAGTTGGTTTTCCATTCTTGTTTCCTGTTGTTAACTTTCTCCAGATATACCCTTGAGATGACCCTGGAGAATCATCAGCCCTCAAGATTCTGTTAACCTCCCTCTCCTGAGAAGAGGTAAAGAAGCTTAAAAGACTGGTGAATAGAGTCATCATTTGGTTGAGTACCTAAATACAATCACTGTAAATGTAATTATATAGCAATTGTAATCTGATACAGTGGAAAGGTCATGGGCTTTGCAGCTAAAGAGATCCAGCTATCACTCAAATTTACCATATGCGTGACTTTGGGAAAGTTACTTAATTTCCTTGCATCTCAATTTCCTTCTTTGAATATTAGAGATAATATTGTTTGCACCAAGGAGTTACAAGGAAATCAAATAAAATAACCTGCAAAAAGGCCGTAATGTTGAATCTGGAACATATTATATTCAATAAATATTAAACCATGTATAGCATGTTCATTTTTTTTGGTCTGTGTGCACCAAACCAAAAAAATACATTTTGTACATATATTCAGGCATCATCTAAACTTTCACATTTTAGGTGAAATGCTTTTGTTTACATGCAGCTTATATGCTGTTTAACTCTACAGGAATATATAAATTTACTCAGTTTAAGGCTCAGTTTAAAAGGGGCTTACTTAGGTCTCTCAGTCTCTGCTCAGAAGTGTTTATGTTAATCAGTGGAAGCAACATGTGATGGAGAACATGATTAGTGAAAATTTTGAGTTTCACAAAGTCTCAGTCATGACATAATAAGTGTCTGAAATATTGAATTCAGTCTAACAATGGCATAATCAGAATGTCACATTCTTAAATGTTATAACAAGAATAAACCATACTTCTATGCATTGATCTAAATGTAAAGAAGATAGTCTTTAAAGCAACCAACAAAACATTTTATAATTAAGTAGTGCCAGAAGCTGTAGGTAAAATTGTTTCCCAAAGCTCTGAGTATAGATAACTTAAAAATAATTCCTCAGATACCTTATTCATATTTACCAAGAAAATATTTTCAACCCCAAACTCTTGCAGGTTTCTATAGGAATAGAAGAATATATCAGACAGACAGAAAGACATAGAGAAGATTCAAAGGCCAAAAGAATTTCTTCCCTGGACCTAACGATGGTCATTTTGTCCAAGAGTAATTTTTAAATGGCTTTTACTTGGTGGGCATTAACTACAGATTCTTAAGAGCAATGCAACCTGTATTGCAACTCTTTGGGAGACTCTGCGGCATCACTCACTCCCAGAGGCATGAAATGAACACAACAAAAATTCATTCAGATGGTCCTTAACATCCCAAAGCAAATACGGCATTCAAATTTTACTTGTCAATTATATAAATTTTCAACTTGTCATTAACTCTCACAGGTTTCAACTAAAATTTTTAAATGATGCTCTAGTGACCTAAAAACTAATAGAGGACAGTCACACTTGACAGCAGGTAGAAAACATCCCAGATACCATGAAAACATGACAAAGGCTAAGTTTTCAGGCATGGCTTTCTTTCCACACTGATGAAATAAATAGGAGATTGAGAAAACATACCAAAAGAGTACCTTACCAAATTTTTAAAATTTTAAATTTTTGCTTTTTCTTTGTAACAAATTGGTAAGAAGTTATAACATCAAATTACAAACATTCATCCAATTAAATGACAATATTTGGCCTAATTTTTCTCCTAACATCATCTCCTGACATTCCCCTGTTGAATAAAGGCACTGACAAGCTCATGTATTAATAAGATAATGTGAGCTGAACTTAAAACAGAAAGTTTTCTTAATAAATTAATATTACTGAACCCTATTTAAAATTGTAAATTGCTACTTGGGTACAGAACATTTTAGTTCCAAGAAATTTTACTTGTTTCTAAAAGTTTTTTGGTCTTTTTGTATTGTGAGTTGAATTAGTCTTTTTATCTATATAACAGATTAACCTAGTCCTTCCATCATCATAAAATGAACAAAATTATTTCATTCATCATGAATTTACAAATAGAGCCTTACCCCCAAATACAGTAAGATTCCATAGAACATAAATCTCCAGAAAAAGCACCGGCGAAGGGCATTCATGAGTTTTGGGTTTTTCTTTGAAGCCAACTCTCTGTCCCATTCTCTGCAAAAGAATAAAAAGAGGGACAAATAAATTGCATGTCTAAACATTTGAATTGTTCTATTTCCCTTAACATAGTTTTATTCAACAAGTACATCCTAGGAGATTAACCAAAAAGACTGAGACAAAATCTTGTGGACTCCAATGCCCAGTCAGATCAATTTTCAGAGCTGACTCCATGAAAAAGCCACAGTATATCTGCTAAAGAAAGGTTCTGGACTTCAAAGCAATGTGAATGAAATAAAGTATGATTTTTATAATAATGAGTCATATACTATGCTGAACATGGTGAAATATAAGCAAATATTTTAAATTTCCCCAAACATTTGATCTTTACCTATTCAGAATTACAGGCTTTACAAAATGTAGAGCTCAAACAAAAACATATGGTAAAAATCAAGTTAATGTCTCTGTGATTAAACATTAGAAAAACTGCTTTTAGATGCTGTCTATAAATATAAAACAAATATCATACTCCATTTTCAGTTATGAAAGTCATATGGAATAAAGTCATTGATAAATTAAACGAAATTTTATATTTTCTAGAAGTAATATAAATTAAAGAGGTACAGGGGTGGTGAGAGGATTCAACAGAGACAGAGTGGGGTACAGAACAGGCAGATCGACGAAGTACACTGCTGAGGGGAGTGGCAGGTGGGTCAGGAGAGGTCTGTCTTGCCGTGTGGATCACCTCCGAGTAAGGGATCAAACTCGCACTTAAGCAGCAGCAGCTAGCTTGCAGTTCTGCGTCCTAACCCATTGCACCACCGGGGAGGGCCTAAGTGTACATTTTTTTACCTGAAAGTTTCATGAGCCACAGGAAAGGACAAGATAATAGTCTGTATTTCATCAATGACTGTGCTTATTACCATCCATCTACCAGAAATAAAAGTGGTGTTAAATAAAGTAGAACACACAAAAGGGATTTGAGGGAAAGCTCTGCATGGACATTGGGTTTCCCCAAAGCTTACTACCTATAATGTACAGAGATCCTATCACTTCTGTCTACTTCTCCAAATTCTTCCCCCAACAAGATTACTTCCCATCCATACCATTCAGTGATTCACAAAAGGATAAGAAAGCTCGATATAGAGGTAGATTAAGCCTCTCCTTCAAAAGAAGTCAAATGAGAAAAGTGGGAAAGTAAGGAGGTACATAAACCCAAAACAAAGTTGAGAAAAAGAACCATACAGGAAGATGTTATTACATGTGACATTAAGAGGTATCTGGTGACCCTGGTCAATGTCCTTGCAGCAATATCAAAGACATAGAAATCATATTTGAGGAAAGTAAGATGTAGAGAGAAAGAAGTACAGTTCAGGAGAGAAGAGAAATAATAGCTATTAAAGGAAAAAATTATAATGGAGTAGCAGCCAGAGAGGAAGGCAGATGTGGGAATCATTTCTAGTGAATGGGACTTGAAGAACTTGTAGCCCAAGAAGAGCCAGTAGCCAGGGTAGGTGGTGTGGTTCAAGCAGCACAGAACAGGATTAATGAGCATTACAAACAGCAAGAGTTAAATCGTAAGGGAAGAACCTTTCTGCTTATTAAGTTTGCAATTTTGCCATAATCATGAATAGAAATGTGTGGATTTTTTTTATTGTACTAGTATGGTACAGAGAAGTCAACCCACAGCCAGAAAATAAGACAGATGGACTTCAGTATCTCAATCAATGGGTAACCATGTGAAGACCCTTGTCACAGACACTAAGGAAACTGGAGGCCAGGGTCACATGGGTAAAAAAAGTACAAAGTTCTGTACATGAATTTCTCTCAAAATCCAACTGATAATTTTATAATTAAAAAAAAAAACAAGAACAGGGTAAAACAATGAAATAACCCAAAAAGACAAGAACAATAAAGATAAAATCTATGATCTTATGCTTGCACAGAATTCTCGAATTGGAACAAAATATTTTTTTATTGAATTGATATGGTGGACTCAATGAATGTGAGTAGAAAAGAAATGCTACGTTACATAATCCTACAAATTCAAGTGTATGTCTTCTATTTGGCCACAAATAAAAATATATCTGAAGTGCACAGTTTTTTTTTTTTTTTTTAAAGATTTATTTATTTATTCATATAGAACTGGGGTACAGGCCAGAGATGCGGAGGGTGAGAGGATTCACCAGAGACAGAGTGGGGAGCAGAACAGGCAGATCTACGAAGTACACTGCTGAGGGGAGCAGCGGGCAGGCCAGGAGAGGTCTGCCACACCATGTGGTCTCCTCCGGGCCAGGCGGGAATCGAACTCATGCGGAAGTGGCTTTAGCTTCTCAGTGCAGTGCTTTAACCCGCTGCGCCACCAGGGAGGGCCCCTGAAGTGCACAGTTTTTAATTAACCTAGTGCTACTTGATTAACATTTCCAACAACATCCACTCTGAACTTATTCACTATCTACTAGATTATTTTGAATTTGTTGACATACCTAAAATGTATTGTTAATATACTTTATCAGTGCAGTAAAGCTATAGTTTTTTACATAAAGCTAACTTTTCTACATTTATTCATTCTACAAATATTTATTGAGCATAAGTTATGGTCTAGACCCTGTATCAGGCACTTGAAATCAATTATAAATAAAACAAACTAAACCAAAAAACAAAACAAAACAAAATACCTCTGTTTTCAATGCACATTCACAGTGTTCAAAATATGAATTGGTTCTAAGGGAAATGTGTATTTGCTGCTTGCTCTCACTAGTCTAATTCTTTGAATAAACATCGAGAAAGTAGAGTTGAAATTTTACTTTGCCTTGACAACATTTGTAAAACATGGAAAATGAGTATAAGGAAAACAAGGTAAACTGCAAGTCTAATCAACACTTTATTTTGGTACAATAATTTTGTGGCTAGTCTATATTTCAATTTTTTTTTGGGAGGGGGAGGGTTGGCTCTTTCCCCTTCCACCTCTCCCTTTCTTCTGCTCTCTGATCATCAGACCCTGTGCTACTGACACAAGACCAAGTTTAGCTCATTCATTGACTGTGCATGGTTCCAGAAGTGATCATATGACTAGAGCATCGCTAGAATTACTCACATTTGACCAAGGAAAAACAGCTTTTCCTCTGTGCTCTGAAAAGATAAGTGCAATTGTTCCAAGGACCACCTGCACGGCGTAAGCTGGTCTAAGAGAATAAATCTAGCATCAGGTGAATGCCCCCAGGTGGCATTTGAACCCCTGATTCCAGTGAGTCCCTAAAGTCAGTTCCCTACCAGCTACCACATCAAGATTTCCTTCTTTTTTATTTACTTCCGCTAATTGGATTTCTGTCACTGGCAAACAAAGGGTTAGAAATCAGGACCCTAAGAACATTTCTTAACATTATAGCAATTATGCCCAGAGACAGGTTTAGTGCAGATATGAGGTAGAATCATGGCTCCCTCTGTCACTAGCAAATTACATCATTTCTCTGAGCCTCAAGTGCTTTCTTCTCAGATTGGCCAAAAGGAAATACAAAACTTGACACTTTGTATGTACTCAAAAAAGCATGGCTTTACATTCCTTTGATATTCAATAGCCATTACTTTAAAACTCATCAAGACATTTATTTGTATTCACATATAAGATTTTGAAAATCAATATATAAAATTTACTTTATAAAGATGCTATTTCAGTCTTATCGGCCTTATCTTTGGACATTAAGTCTCAAGGACTTTATGTTCTTTAAAGACATAAGTCTAAAGAACTTTATGTTCTTTACCTCCTATAGATTCGCATGTGTATTATTCAGTTAAAAAAATTAATTCACCAAGAAAATGGTTATTAAGAATTGTTCAATTCTCAATTGAACAAAATTTTGGCAAGAAAATAAGATGCTCCTATTTTAAGTGTGCCATTTTAAAAATTAAGTTGTCTAAATATGTCAGTTCTCTGTTACTAAATAATAGTATTACACATCTTCTTCAACTAATAAGCAATGTTCATGAACATACCGTTCCAATTTTTCAGACAAATTGTCCGCAGAATCAGCAGAATGGATTTGGTATATGTCTGATAACTCCAGGCGCTGTCTGTACCCTTTCCTCAAAATTGGTCTGGTCCAGCTAAATGAAGAGAGGAAGGGCAGATATAAATATTGACTTGATTTGATCTGTAATACAGATTTGAACTCTAATATCACTTCAAAAATCCTGGCATGTGGAAAATCAGACAGACGCATAAATATGAGGATAAGATGAAGTCCACATAGGTCAATGTCACAAATTCATCGTATAGGACACATCTGTATAAACACATCTAGCACAAACACTCCTAAACTAATATGCTGCAGGATCTGGAATAATTCTTTTTGACAAAGAGAATTCTTCTCAGAGGAAAAACAAACTATTAAACCTTTTATATTAAAAGTTGTCTTTTAGAGCCCTCCCTGATGGTACAACAGGTTAAAGCACAGCACTATGAAGCTGTTACAGCCACTGCAGCATGAGTTCCACCCCTGACCAGGGAGATGACCCCCACGGCATGGCAGACCTCTCCTGATCCACTCACTGATCCCCTCATCAGTATATTTCAGTGGATCTGTCTGTTCTGCTCCCCACTCTGTCTCAGGTGAATCCTCTCACTCCCCACACTTCTAACCTGTACTCCACTTCTATATGCATAAATAAATCTTTTTTTTAAGTTGTCTTTCTAAAAATAACACATACAAGTATACAGTTTGCTATGATCGCTGATGTGCAGTCTCTTGTACCCTGCAAATACAAGATGATTTGTGAACAAGACAGACACTTAATCAACACCCTATGTAATTTTGTTACTGTAGCATAATACTCTGCAATGAGGTATCTGTTGAATGAACTGACTGTAGCTGGAGGGTTAATGAGTAGTTTGCATCAATTTGTTGACTTAATTATCATGTCTGTATCATTAATTGAGGATAGGGATCATAACCTTCCTAAGTTTTGTCTCCTTACCCCACAGCTGTTACGCACATTGCCTAATAAACAACAATTTGTGATATTTATAACAAAACCTAGTAAAGCTATAAGGTAAATAATTAGGCAGAAAATACCAGTTACTTTTAAATACACTGTTTCTAACCAGTGTAAATAGGTAAAATAATCTTCACAGAGAAAAGAAAATCTAAAAAGAAGTTGAAGAAAAAAGGAAAAGAGGAAGGTGGAGACTTTGTGAAACAAATCACGTACATATAATTTCCAAGCAGAATTCATATTTATTTAAAAAAGGAATTGAACTTGGAATTAGTGATTCCCACCAAATACTTTTCCCCTTAAAATATCTTTTTTCTTCAGCGAGTTCTGAGAGAGAGAGAGTTGGTGTCATTGAGACTCTGGCAATATATCAAAATACACATTAGCCACAAAAAGATCAAAAGCCAACTAAGAGGCAAACTAAACTCATAATAGGAAAAATATTCTAGTAAAAGGGAAATACTGGGCCTCGCTGGTGCATGAGTCAAAGACACAGCACTATCAAGCTATCACCAGCCACCACAGCACAAGTTCGATCTCAGGAGCTGACCCACATGGTGCAGTAGACCTCTCTGGTCTCATCTGCTGTTCCCCTCAGCAGTATATTTCCGTAGATCCACCTATTCTGCTCCCCACTCTGTCTCTGGTGAATCCTCTCACCCTCCCTCCCCCACTCTGACACCTTCCCTTTGTTCTTCACATCTCTACAATACATAACTTCTTTAAAACTTAGCTGAAATAGGGTCTGGCTCTAAAGCTAAGTGATTTAATCAATCATTTCCTACTAAGGTATCAACAAATGACAATGGATTAGTATGTCACTTTTTTAACATTAAGTTCTATTATTTTTATTTTTAAAAGAGCTCTCATACCTTAACTAAGGGTAATAACTTTATGGTCAGTCTGAATCAATGGCACTTTTTCCTGGAGACAAGAATGAACATAGAAGAACCTGAACGAAAGCAGTTAAAATCTCAATACAGGAGGTGTAGTGGACATCGAAATACAAAGTGTCCATGAGATTATGAAAACTGGGGAACATCAATTTTAGGATATAAGCTCTAATCTGTTGGTTATGAACTTTGTGAATTTAAATAAAGAAGTGTAAAGGTGAAGCAACTACTTACTAGTAATAAAAAAAGTGTATTCAGAACTTTCACAAATGTTAGCACATTGTGATTTTAATTTGAAAATTTTGTTAGATAGAACAAAGAGGAATCATTGTCCTATTTTAAGGTCTAAGAAATAGAGGCTCCGAGAGATTAAACTTGTCTGTTACTAAATGGAAAAAACAACTTTTATCACATTCCTTTGATGTTATTCACTCAACTTTCCCTCTTAGCACAGTGGGTTGTTCTAAACAGTTGAGAGAGAACCTAGAAGCAGGGAGACTACAGACTACAGGTTAACAGACTAGGAGTGGGGTGTGCGATGGCAAAAGCTTAGCCATATCTTCTCCAGGAAAAATGAGCAAACAAAAAACAATGACTGACATTTGCCAATTTCTCTGGTGTGAATATTCCCATCAGGACCAATTTAAAAGGACCCACTATGAAGTCACTGAACACAAAGTTGAGAAGACATAGCAATTGTATATTATTCTGTAGTCTGTCTACCATTCAGATATGATATCTGGCTACATATATATCACTATGTAGCATAAATATTAAGAAAATGTAAAATAATTAGTGAGTGATAACTTTTCTGTCTTAATTACCTTGGTTTTGATATAGTTATTTCATTATCATTTCATTTCAATGTAATTTAATTTCAAAGTAATTTAATTTTTAATACAAAGTAATTTAATTTTTAATTTAATGTTTAATAGCCATATCAAAAATTACTTGAAACAGCAATAGAAGATTTAGTCAAAAGGAAAATAGTTCAATCCTATTAACAGATCTTACATTTGTAGTGTTTGAAATTATTAAAATATGACAACAAATTTACAGATAGGCAGAATTTCACTATATGTAAGTACCAAAAAGACTTGTAAAAAGTTTAAAAATAAACCCTTTCATCTCTTCTTTTAAAAATAATATATACATACATATACATATATACATCTTTTAGTCTATATCTAATACATGATGACCATTCCCATAAGTGAGTTTCCAACTCATTTGAAGGTAACATGATTTGGGGCTGCTTGTATAAAAAGTGTCCTGTGCCCATTTTAGTGTCTGTTACATCATGACATACAGTGTTGATGATCAAGACAAAGAGTCTAGTATTAGATCTAACATATATGATAGTATTAAGGTTCATTAGCCATCTGTAATTATTAATATAAGTTACTATTTCCTGACAGGTTCACCAGAGTAAACCTATTTTTATATCCTGAAATATAAATATGGGTCAAGATCGTTATGAGAGCTAAAATCAACTAATCTTTGGCTGCCTGACAATCATGAGAATTATCTTAGTGAATTCATTCTATGAGGTTAGACCAGTAAGACTGAAAGAAATTTTTGCCCCTTTAAGGGAATAACCTCAAAACTAATCTTAAAAATAAAAATAAATAAATAAATAAATAATCCCACTATCTACACTTAGAATCACAATGGAATATGAGTTACTGTGAAACTCTAACCATCACTCCTTTCAAATAATCCTGAGTTAAACATACTCAGAATTTAGCATTGCCCAGCCATGATTTCTACTTTAGTATTTGTTTCATTAGAAATTAATGAACCCCAGGTGCTTCATAAACCAAAGCAGGCACACCTGAAATAACAAAAGCAGTAAGCCCTACTCTTTCTCTTCTTCAAATGTGTCCCACCTCAAATTGATCTTTTCCTTCTCCTTTCCTAGGCTGTTGCTATATATTAATAGTGGCCTTATGAATAATCTACTTATAAGCTGTGACAGTTTCCAAAATAATGGTTATTTCTAACAGAAACTAGCTACTCATTAATTATGGAACAGCAGATAAAAAATCTCTAAGGTCTACAACTTTTTATAATGTAAATTTCAAGTTAACTTGCAAAAAAGTTTAGTACTCCAGATAGACTCTTCTGTTCACCTAACTATAAAAGGCTTTAGGTTTTATTGAGGAAACATGCTATCACTTGCTTTTTTAAACATACACAGAGACAAAAAATAAAACTATTTAATTAGTTTCATTTCTTAAGGCTAAACTCTCAATTTTGCATAGAACCACTAGTAAAGCCACTGTTAAGCCTTGATTCTTTATCCCTCTAAAATCATATAATTAAAGTTTATAATCACTTTTCCTTTGACATTTGGCTTTTTATAATCTAATAGGGGCATCTGACCTTTTCATCTGCTAGCACTTAACATGAAGGTCAGCTATCAGATCTTTTTTAGTTCAGAATATTTTGTTTGTAGAAAACAATCATGCTTCCTCAGTGCTTAATCTTACTTTTCATTTAACTAGCCATATAAAATTGAAGGGCAAATTCAAACCACTAGTTACATGACTCATCTTCCAAATACTGACAAATTAATGCACCCACACTTTTCCATTTTAGAATGAAATAATGAAATAAAAACTACTCAGTGTAAAAAAAATTAAAGTTGTCTTTTTATCATCCAGTATGTCAAATATATTTTTCACCCAATATACCCAGTACATTTATGTGAGTTTTCAGTAATCCAAATAATATGGGTGGTTCTAAGTAAAGAAAATGTTAAGGTTCAGGCAAAGAAAAAAGGGGGAAGATTTGACAGACTTCTAATAAATCAAAACTTCCTACAGCACGCCTTATCCTTACAGCACACCTTAGTTATTTTGCTAAATGTTTATGATGACAAGAATTGATCTGAGGTTGGTAGTAAACTCATTCTATAAGGATTACAAAAAGATTCAGGAGTCACACTTCAAATATCACAGTTTTCTCAAGTTAGGTTCAATGTTCTTATAGTTAGATGTATGTTTCTCAAAGGATTTTAGTGAAAATAAAACTTGAGAAAGTAGAGGCATATATCTCTTAAAAGTCCTATATAAAACTTGTAGGTTTCACTACATCTGAAAATATCAGCATTGTGGTCAGGCTCAAATCATTAAGTCCCTGTTCACTGACTCCCTAAATACTTGGGATTCGTATCTGTGGAATCAGAACCGTGAACAGTGTTCAATGCTTCTCCAT